TGATTTCTCACTTTCTGTCTCTCTGTCTCTGTCTTTCTGGCAAGTACACGCACCCTATAGCAAAAACCTCTCCAAAAAAGAATGCTTTGAGAAAGTTACCGTAAGCTTTAACAGGCAAATGTCCAGGAAAGCTTCACCGGAGTCCTTTCTCCACAACAATACTCCTACTCATTCCTCTGGTTAAACAAAAGCAATTTTGTGAGAATTTTGATGGCAACCACCTTACAGTCCTTATTTGGCTCACTATAGCAAAAACCTCTCCAAAAAAGAATGCTTTGAGAAAGTTACCGTAAGCTTTAACAGGCAAATGTCCAGGAAAGCTTCACCGGAGTCCTTTCTCCACAACAATACTCCTACTCATTCCTCTGGTTAAACAAAAGCAATTTTGTGAGAATTTTGATGGCAACCACCTTACAGTTCTTATTTGGCTCATAACTTCTTTTTTGTTTTTTAATTTATAAAAATCTGTAAAGGGATATTCCTTCTTTTAATAATATGAAAAAGACGGCACTGACATGGTTGAATTTCCAGAACCCTCATTTCTTTAGGAATGGACTAAATAAATGATTGTTGTCATCACTTACAGAAGTGTCTTGAACTGGATGAAGTTTAGGTTGAGAAATAAACTTTATATTTTAATTTTTGCCTTTTAGTTTTATTTTTCATGGTCTTTTGGATGGCCCCTAATATATAGACAGGATTTTTTATAAAAATTTATAGAGAATGCATATTATGAAAAACTGTACATGGAATTAAAACATTTTTGCACCAAAATAAATTTGTGCTTTAATTCTATTTTTTTCCACAAACTTTGTAGTTCCTGTGTGTGTTCTCTTTTATACAATTAACAGTTTTTTCCCATCAAAATGTGTGTTTTTTTTGTTTGTTTTTAGAGATTTTTGCTATAGGGTGCTTCCACTCACCAAGGAGAGAGAGAGAGATAGCAAGAAAGAGAGAGAAACAGAGAGGTAGAAAGCAAAAAAATCACACCCTGCACCAGGGGTGGGATGGCCATGCTGTGGTCCCTTCTCCTCCATTTTCCACTTAGGATTTAGGACACACACACACACACACACACAAGCTTGGCATGAGTTTCAAGCAGCCAGGTCCAAAATTTGGATCACAGTAGACCAGCATCTTAACCACTGTGCCACCTACTGGACCCCCTTTTTTACTTTAGTTTGCTATTGGGCACATGTGCTCATGAGAGAGAGAGAGAGAGAGACAGAGAGAGGAAGGAACAGAAATTAGCCCCTATGAGGAATGGTCACACTGCAATCTCTTCTCCATTTTCCTTTTAGAATTTTGGACTTGCATGTACATGTACCTGATGTGTTTACCAAGCTGCTGAATCCTTATTTGAACCAAAGGGTTGGCCATGTGGCATCCAGCTTCCTTAACCATCATGCCACAGGCTTGCCTCCAAATGTGCTTTTAAATGCATTTCATTTCATAATTCATCTCATACCAGCCTCACCTGAAAATCATACTGTTGACTTTTTTTTTTTAATGGAGGGGTGTTACATTCTGCTAACTGGTTGCAAAATTTCATCCCACTATATCAATCATATTTTAGAATCTTTAGTTAAAGAAAATGCAAGTTTTTTTCTCATATATATTCTTTCTAGGGCTAGTTACTCTGTGTCTACGTAGGCAGTATTTAATGTCTCATCAAATGTAATTAAAATAAAGCTAGTTCTTAAACTTGAAGAAGTTAAAGAAGAATCACTATGGGACCAGCAGGTGTTGTGGTGATTGTAATGATTCTTAAAAAATCACTAACTCTTAAGCTTTCAAAAATCTGACAGGAGTTCTCAGGTCTTCTAGAGTATCCGTAGCAATGATATTTTTTGTAAGTCATTGAAAATTTTAAGAATCTGTTGCTTTGATGCAAGATTTCAAAAATCTGTCCATTGGTATATCCTTGTTCTAAAAGCCTTTCACTGACCAAAGAAATAGATGATTTCTTGAAGTTTTCTGTCATATGATTAGATAAATGGAGAAGACTCATCTCCATCTTCTGCTAATGTTCGTGCAAGACGCTGCTTATTGTCCTTCTGTTATGGAATTTTCTTTTCACTAATAAAAGTACTTGGCGATACCATAATAGACAGGCACAGTCTGGTGAAGCTTATAAAAATTTTCCTTCACATCTCATGTTTTTATCTTGCAAATTACTATTCTTTCTCTTTGTCGTTCCCAGCCTAGGAGTCCCATATATACATGGCAATGAAATGATCCTGTATTTTTTCTCCATTGCATTCTGATTCTCTTTCATTTAATTCTGAACTCCTTAAATACAGATTCTGTGTCTTGTTTACTTCTGTGTTCCTGCAGGTACCGTATACCTTACACACAACAGGTGTTCAGCAACTTGCTTGCTGACTGAAAATGAGTAGTTTTAGAGAACTAGTCTATATTATGGACTCTGATAATTTCTGTTTATTTTACAAAAATATGTTCTCTTCTCCTTTTTCTTAGAGCGTCAAGCTATTCACAATAGAGCATGCTATTCTGTTAGGCCAGAAAGTTTGTATGAGTGCAGCTTCTGAGGTATTTATCATTTCTTCTTCTGAACCTAGCTTATAGAGTTTGATTACATCTCTGTTATAGAGAGTAATTATAGTATTTTGTGCTATTCCTTTTTAAATAAGTTTATCTTCCTAGTGGGTTATAACTTTTTAAAAGTCTATTTCTGTGTATCTCCAGAACCTAGCATGATGTTTGATAAATAGATGTTGCTCAGTTTTATTCCCCCAGAGGTTTATCTCCACATGATCTTTTTATCCTCGCTTTAAAAGGTCTACCTTGTCAAAGGGTCTGCCTGTGGGCAGTGCCTTTTTTTTTTTTTTTTTTGACAGGGTTTTGTTTTAGGGGG